AGAACACAGACCAACTTTTACCTGCTGTCTTAACAGTGCGTTTTAGAAAATACTATAAATGGCGCAGTAAACGCCATCTGTAGCACGATGCTACATTTTAGGATTACGTATGCTCCAACAAGGTCCACTTGTGTGGATATCTACTTGCTGAAAACGAATCCCGGCGTAGCCAACCCAACGTGATAGGCACGTTAGCTTAATCGAATAAAACAATTCGAAGTGGTCTGTATATACAAATGTATTGTATATCTTGTTTTATTGTTTATAAAACAGAAAACACAAAGAAACAGTTAGGGATATAATCATATGTATGTTCATTTCATTTGAAACTTAATGTGTAAACAATATGCTAAAGCTGATTGTTTCGTCGAAGCCGATAGCTGAAATAGTGGTTTCGACAAAATTTGGATTAATAATTTAGCTATTGATTGAATGGTTACCAAACTCTAATTAATATCAGTATCGCATTCACCACAATATTTATTTTAAAAATCAATGTTACGTATATGCATTTACATATGCACATATGTTGCTAATCTCCTGGTAATGACCTTCACCCTATCTGCGTATATATACACAAGCTTTTCGTCGCTAGAGTAACCGTATGTTTTGCATATTAATCCCCTGTTAATGAATGTCCTCGAAAGAGTAGCAATCTATCACACACATACATTATTAGATTTCCCATCTCATATGTTATGTGGTAAATTTTACTCATCTGCACCTCTATCAGAATAAGTTATTAACTGTATTGCTTTTTTAATAATCCTTTTGCAGCAAAATGAAGTAGGTGCCATGTAAAATTCATTACACACTACAGAAGTAATTTACTGTAGAGTTTTAGACATATATGTAATGTATATCACTTCATACTTATACACACAAGTTGTTTAAAACGATCGTCACGATCATGATTGCATATGCGGCCTCGCGTTTTAATTCAGATTAGTGTTCGAATGAAGCTTGGGTTTCGTCTACCTTTGGCCAAAAAATACCGTTACTTACAAATTAGGCTTCGGTTAAAACCACTTGAAGGTTTGGACGAAGTTAAATCCGAAGTTTTGCATCTAGTCATTTTAATAAATGCATGTAGATATCACTGAATTTATATTTTGGAGATTTGTAAGTTTAGTCGTTTCAGTTTAATTTTGCCGGTTTTGGATTATAAAGTCAAAATTGTAAATCTTTTGCTTTATTATTTATTACCGGAACAATAAATCTACTAACCCGTATACCTACCACAAGAAAGAGAAAGATACCCTTATCTTTCTCGGCTGGTCGCAGATAACAAACATTGTTGGTACTTTATAAAATTTGTGCATCGTTCTATTTATTTTAACAGTTTGTAGAGTGTCTCTCTTTTATTATTTGTCAACGCCACTTGATTAATATTCATGAAACAGTCGATAGTACAATAATAGAAAAGAGAGGCAACTGTACAAATTGTTTAAATAGAGAGAAGGATGCAAACATTTTATAAAGTAACAGCAGTGTTCGTTACATGCGACTAGCCGAGAAAGATAAGGGTATTGTTCTCTCACTCGTGGTAAGTATACCGGTTAGTAGAATTATCGTTTCAATAATAAAACAAAAATTAAGTAAAAGATTTACAATTTTGACTTCATATTCCAAAACTGGCAAAATTAAACTGAAGTGACTATACGAACGAACCTTCGCCGTTGGCTTTGACCGAAGGTTATGGCAAGAGTCCAACAGCTGGCTTCGGACGGAAATTGACCTTCTGGCGGACATTGATTCGGATACGTAAATCAAATTAAGTCTACGAAACGGATTGGCACCTAGCAGAACGTATGTCACAACAAAGGATAAAACGACAAAACAGAATCTTTAGATTGTAATGAAATATTTCTCGCCCTACTTTAGTGCAGGGGCAAAAAAAATGAACCCCACACCTGGCTAGCAGGAGTCGATGATTTGACCTCAATTCATTATTTTATGTTTTTTTATAAAGAATCCCTTTCACATTATCCAGCGTCAGCCACTCCGATTCGCCTGGACGAGGATGCACTAGGGGTGCAAATTTGTCAAAAATTTCGTAAAAAAGTGAAGCGACCATGGGCTCAAACCTTTTAGGTATATGACTTATAATACATAAATATCAATTAAAATCATCAGCCAGTCAGATGTGACTGGAAAATGTATAAGCTAGTCAGGTGAAAAAATAATATGTATTTTCGAAAATGTAAAATCATTTGATCTCCGTTCATCTTTGCATATATTTTACAATTTAACATATTAATTACAAAATTAACCATTAGCTACTCGTTAATGTCTGAAAAAATCTGAAGGACTTGAGTCATTTCATTTTTTGTTAATTAAACGCAGTAATGAACTTTTTCGCGAAATTTAGCAGATTTCTATCCATATTTCCCTTCATTTTATTTCATTCAAAAACTGTATTATAATCGTTGAAATTATAGCTGCTTGAACGTTCTCACATAACATCCGATACCGAGAGAAAGAATGATTTCCCCTCTTACTGTATTCTAACGGCCTTTTCAAGGTTGATTGAAATTCTGGAGCAACGAAAAATGAAGGACTCAAGTTGGAAATTGAATATAATATATAATAGATCTTGATTTTGCAATGAAAATAGTCAGCCAGCAATTGGCTGTTGGAAACTTCGTCAGCTATAGCACTTGGTGGTTGTGTGCTGGACGATTTTCATTTACGATGATGGTTACGTTTTCAATTAATTTTACGAAATTTTTAACAACTTTGAATCCTTTGCGCATTTACCTTCAGGCGAATCGGATATATAATGGGCAAAAAAAACATAAATAAATCGATTTGAAATCATCGGTCTCTTTTGCACGCTCCTCCCGGACTATAATAAGAGGTGCTTTGGACTTTTTTGGCATTGATCAGACTACTGGAAATAGAGAAATGTTCGTCCAATAAGTACAGATAGTTTGCCAATGCCACTTGTAGAAAATTGCTACTTATTGTGTTTAATGAGAACAGGTGGGTTGGTGTGTGTTCTATTGTAATTGTCTACAGTATGCTGATGGAATCCAATGATATCGAAATCGCGATCCGTATCTGACAGTTTCAACATAATACTAACCACTAATAGCTTTTTTCTGTGTTTAGTTACGTACCTATCATGTAGCGGTTACGTCATGTGTTTAGTTCGATATCCTTACTAGAAAAGGATCCTGTCGAATAGCAGAGCGATAAACAGCAATTTTCTACACATGGCTTTTACACGGTATCTGCACTTATCCATAGCTTGTGTATGCCTTTATTTCCTTTCTATCAAAGTTCCAGTGTTGCATGTACGTA